ATATATATACATGAGGCACACACACACACACACACAAACGCGTGCAGACACACAGCCAGCCATCTAGCACATATGAAGACACACATTCCCACAAAGGGAGCCTCCAACATGTCAGCTCAGCTCCAAGTCAAAAAAACCTTTCCACAGCCTGACCACGTTACATTACAGCATCCTTTTTTCCTTTTACGGCACTTGCAATACAAATAGGTCACATATATGCTAAGATCAGAGGTACCAAACCAGAAAAAAAAATAAAACAAAGAAAGCGGTAAGATAAGGATGATTGATGTTTGAAAGGAAATCAAGAGCAACACAGATGTTCTGTGTCTGTAACACTACCAGTCGAATCTCTCCCTCTCTCTCTCTCCCTCTCTCTAATCACCAACACCACCCACTCTTCACAACCAAAAGCCAACAACAACAACAACAAAATCATCACAACGACTGCAACAACCCACAACCACCACGCTGATGCTATTCATATCCTCTTCTTCTCCTGCTCCAACACACACACACACTCACACTCACTCACACACACTCACTCACACACTACACACCTCCTACACACCACCGGAAGATATCACACACACACACTAGCAGAGCACACTTCTGAAGACATGCTCTAAGTCGTAAAAAATGGCAAAGTTTCCCCCCCCCATCAAACTGACACTAATCAGTGTGTGTGATAAGAGCAACTGATCAATACTATCATGGGTCCTAATACAAAGACATGGGATCTGTTGTAGGTGAGGTGCAAGGACTCAACCTAGCAGACGGTCACAGAGTGATCATCTCTCTTGTCAGAAGCACCAATGGACGCGCACACACACACACACACGTCCAAACTTACCACTAACCAACTGTGTGTGCCATAAACCACTGACAGGTTTTCTGTGCCTCATCAAACTGAACCAACAATCTCTGTCCAGATTCTAGCGCTGTTTGTCGCTACAACTAGAGGCTAGATGTCCAAACACAGCGGAGACAAACTGCTCACAACACCTCTCCAAACTGCTCAAGGAAAAACTATGTGTAAGTCGGGACTTCCACTCCCCTCATCTCACTCTATCTGGGAAAACTGTACACAATATCTCACACATACCCTCATCATCATCAAATATATTCATGGTCATCATTATTTTCAAATAACAAAAATAAGTGTTATCATCATCATCATTATCTATCTACAACAACTGCCTTGAACGGGCTCACAAACAAAACGTTACAGAGAACCACTAACTGTTTCTGCACCATCACCGACAGCTGACATCATTGAGGTGGGTCATCACCGACAGCTGACATCATTGAGGTGGGTCATCACCGACAGCTGACATCATTGAGGTGGGTCATCACCGACAGCTGACATCATTGAGGTGGGTCATCACCGACAGCTGACATCACTGAGGTGGGTCATCACCGACAGCTGACATCATTGAGGTGGCAGATTCCAAGAGAATCGCTGAGCGAGCAGCTGAGACCTTGACTCCCCACAGAAAAACGTAGCAGGAGATGAGGACTTTCAACACCATCTCTCCATCTGTCTCGTTCACAATTGACAAAACACTTTTCTCAACAACCCCACCACCATCATCAACATTTGTCACCAACATTTGTCACCAACATTTGTCACCAACACAGAAATCTCTAACATTCTGCTGCCATTGCG